TCTTTGAAGATTCCCCCTCTCCTCGAGACTTGGCTTTAGTCTTTCACTTCAAATATTTTAGACAGCATCCCCAGAGGAAGTGAAATTTTTTCTGGGGGAGGCAGTAGTGGGAGGAGGGATCAAATTGTTCACTTGAAGCGTAACAGATTTTGCACAAAACGTTGTGTAAGTGAGATGGCAAAGTCAAGTTCTTAAAATTAGAGGACGCCAAGATAAAGATAGCCTATGCAATCTCCTTTTGTCATCCTTGTGGAAGAGGCTGTTGTGCAGCTCTGCAGAGGATTGCGTGGTGAAGGCATATGGTGGTGGTTGAACTTTTCTCATTTTTTGTGGGTGTCGGAACTAGAGTGTCTTCTGGGGTTCCTGTCTCATTAAAAGTATTGTTTCAAGATAAGGCAGGTAATACTGCTGTAGAGAACTAGGTTCCATCCCTGCTGTATTGGGAATTGTCATCACCATCGCAAATTGCTGTCATCGCAATTCAGATATGACCGATATCTGCTATTCAGCATGAGATTCTCAGTCTCCCTTGCAAAAGCATTGTACGCTCACAGCTGTAACTGAAGTCAGTCAAAACAAGAAGACGAAATAGTGCCAAAGACTCTGAAAAGACAAAACCAAAGTGCCGTAAATAGAGTTGCCCAAATCAGTGATACTTATGACTTTTTTCTCTTTGCTTCAATTCCCTACCTGATAAAAGGGAATAATGCCGCATCTGCCCTGGATTGCTATGAAATTATTTTATGTTTGTGAAGCCTGTGAATAGTGTAGCGATAAGCAGGGCTGGAAAACCTGTGAGATTAATGTTTCTGCCTTCAAAATAGTAAATGAGCCAGAGACTGCAAGCTGTGTGAGAATGACAAAAAAAACCAAACCGTAAAACCAGCACATCTGTTCTGTAATCAAGTACCTCATATTCTGTTCAGTGAGTATGCCTAATCCTGCGAGGGGAAAAAAGTGTGTGATCACATTACGCATTAAAAAAGTTATCATAATGTACGTTTATTGGGCAAACAAATAAAAGGTTGGATAAACCCTATTAGTTCTGGACTTTCTTAGCTTTTGAGTTCTTCACTATGGAAACTTGATTTATCTCTATTTATTGTTTTTGTGTAGCTGTTAGGAACAGATGAGTGCTAATAGATTATTTGTACATATATGTGTGGGTAAACTGGTGGAGTGTTAAGATCAGGAATTAATGGGATTATGAACCTAAGCTAAAATATCATATGTTCTGTCAGCACGGGATTACTTGTGGTGGTTTATGTGTGTTGGGGATTAGCAGTGTGGCTGATAGAGTTGTTAAAAGCTAGCTCGAGGCAGAATTGGTGTAGCCAGGTCCACCTGGGATCAGAATGTGTGTGAAATATTTGCAATTACTTGCAAGTCTCTGTACTGCATTCCCAGTGTATCCTGCTTGCTTGTGAGGTGTCCTCACCTTCTGAGACAGTGGAGAAAGGACTGTAAAAGGTGTGTTGGTTGGTTTGTTTCTTGCCTTCCTACCTTGTTTCAGCATAGTTTTATGTTCTTGCCAATATGTAATTGTATCTTGAATTTTCCTTTAGGGTATGTATTTTATTAGATAGGGACAGCAAAGTCCCTAGTGTCAGAGTATGGCATGCTGTGTCTGCAGCTACTGTTCCACATCGGAAAGCATGTTGCCTTCTCCCTTGAAGTATAGCACGAAGAAAAAGATTCCATTCATCTATATGAAGCCAATCACATGAAATAACCATTAGAAAACTACTTTCATCTTTCATCCAGTTTGCTCTCAGTTTTCTTTTTTAATGCTTTCCTAAAACTTGTATTCATGTTGTCGTCTTCAATGTCAGTTGAGCACACAAGCACTGGAGCAGGCACTTGCACACCAAAAGGGAAAACGGGTTTAGAAATAGCTGTCCCTGCAGCATTGTCAGCTTTCCTGGCTATACTAATATTTAATTCAATGTGCATAGAGTCCCTACCTTGGGAAAAGACGAGCAGCTGATGCTGCCTTTGCTTTACCACTACTTTTTTTTTTTTTTTAAGTGAGGAACAATGTACTGTAACTTTGTAAGTTGCTTTCCCAGTTGGTACCATAGTGTTTAGTTGCTTTTGTGAGGAGGACTCTAACTTAGTTTTATGAGGACAAATTCTTGAAAGATTTGAACAGAAAAGACTTTCCATTTCTGTTTACTGTCTGAATGAAGATTTGGTAGAGGTTTCTCTGTGTCTGTAGCCTTTGTGTGAGGAAAAAAATAGATGCCAAAAGACTGCTGCACAGTTGACTCTGTAAGGTTCCCAGGATTCTGTAGAAGCTGCTGCTTACATTGAATTTTAGGTAGATGCAAGCAAGTGGTTTTTGAAGGACAGAACTACTGAAGTGGAAGGTTATACCAGGCTACCAGTCGTCCTCATCCTTGGGATAGGAAGAAGAGGCGAATGATGCATAACACAAACAGGGTTATCGTTGATGTCCATATATGGAGAAAATGTATCCAAATAACTACTGAAATATAAATGGAAGAAAATGGGGTTATCCTCACAATTCATTACAAGTATATTGGAAATAAAAAGATGACTTATTGCTGTTCCTACTAATGTGACTGTGACGAGGATGTTCTTAGTGAGCTTTTGGTGAATAGAAAGGTGCAGCTAGTGGGCAGCTGGGGTGCTGGGGCTTCAGGGATGGGACCTTCAGAAGTAGCATTGCGTTTGTCTTCCTCTGGTTTCTGTCGGCTGACTAGTTGCAAATTGTAGAAATCAGTAGAAGGTGAAGGAGGCAGTAGGTTTCCCACCTACTAGGTTATCTGTCACCCACAAAGGCTGGAAGACTGAACTGCGGGGAAATGATAATTCTTCTCCTTAGGCCAGCCCCGGCAAGGGGGTGTGCCGTGCTCAGGGGCCATGCCGGGTGCATCTGAGGGTGGGACAGCACTGCCCTGTTCAACCTGCCAGGCTTTCTAAAGTGAAATGTCAGGCTTTTCTTTAAACTTCTCCCAAGCACTGCAGGTGCTATCACTATTCAAAGATTTGTATTTAAGTTAAAGAAGAGAACGTGTTATTTCACCAGGCTGGCACTTCTGTTCAATAACAGATTACCCACTGAAATGGGGGGAATCCTCCAAAATTCTTATTTCACACCAGCCATCACCTGTAGCAATGGTATTTCAGCTGATATTTTGCCAAAGGCAAACTGTTGTGCTGGGGTTAGTACTCAAAACCAGATGACAAGGCTAGCAGATGACTTTGTTCAAGTATGTTTCCTTGGTGTTGGTACAGTAAAACAAGACAAAACAGGGTAATGTGGTGATGCATATGAAGGATGACTGGTCCATTTTTGGCATGATTTATTGATACCATCCCAGAAAATGAACTGGGAGAATAGAAGAGGAATACGTACCTGAAATGGCTAAAGATTTTACAGAAACTAGGAGTAAGTCTTTATGCTTAGCATAGACTTTATGCAAAATGTACTTGACTGACAGTACCTATTCACTGGTAGAGGTGTATTTTTTCATTTTCTATGTAAATGCATTCATTAATGTGTTAACCATAAATTGAAGTACTGCTTGCTGTAGCTTGTGTTTTGAAAGAAGCTCTGTTGTGTTTTATTTAGTGTGGTTTGCCTGTTGGAGTGTGCCCTCTGCCCTTGTGATACTCACACCATTCATTTTGGGACTTAAGCAATTTCCTGCAGTTGGGGCACCCGGTCTCTTAAAGCCACATAAGAATTCCTGAAAAAACCTAATCAAGCAGTGCATCTTATGCCATTGCAGTGTTAATTCTATATGCATATTGTGTTTTCATAGTTTATGACTTCAGAAGAGAATACTATACAGAACAGTTGTGGCTAGCACAAATTATGTGTCTTAGAAGATGCGAACTTTCTTGTGTATCCATAGAACTCTGCAAAAGAGCACTAGAGAATGGCTCCTGAACTGGGAAATGTTGCACAGAGAAACCCATTTTTCTGTGTCAAAGGCAGCTTTTGTCCAAAACTCTCACCTTGAAAACTGCCTATATTGAGTTGGGCTGCTCTGTATGTGAGGCAGGTGTTGCCAAGTAGATTTTCAAGGAATGTTGGATGATTTTTACCAGATGTGTTCAGAAAACAGATATGGAAGGCAGAGTCAGTCTCCAAGTTTTCAGTGGTTAATCTAGTGCATATTTTTGCTTTGTTTATTCTGAACATAATTCCAGAAGCTGAGTTATGCAAGCAAATCAGAGAAGCAACATGCCACCTCACTGAAAACGTGCTGCTGACTGGTAGGAAAGTGAGGAAATGCAAGAGAAAAATTCAGAGAAAATAGTGTTTCCATAGTAAAAGCATAAATACTTCTTAATTAAAAATAGCATTATTCTATCCATTGCAAGCCTACTTATTTTCTGAAGAGATTTTATGGTATATTTGCAGGGAATATAGGCAACTATGAAGTGAGAACTTAAAGTTTTGAGTCTTCAGTGAAGCTGTTTTGAGAAGTATCTGTAATTAATAGCTGTACATGTGCATAATACATGTTTCTTTTTGAGCTGGAAAGTGTTATTCAATACTCTGATATGCAGTGCCTTTCATATTTATTTTTTAAGCCATTAAGCCATCTTAATCTTCAATCACCATAAAATTATACTTAAAATGCAATGTTTTAATGTGAATAATGAGAGTAGCATTTGAGGTTCTCCCTTTAGGCTCTTCTTTCCTCCAGATATTACCTTTATGGTGTTGATGATGATATTGTCCTTCCAAGGTATAAAATGATACTAAAATTCAAGTAATTATTTTACCATATTCAGGATGTTAGAAAAAAAAAATTAATTTACATTTGGTGAATATTCATATCAGTCAAGTTACTAAGGTTGTTAACTAAAATGGAGTGTAAAGGTACAAGTGTGCATGTGCAGGTGTGACTGAAAAATCTCCTTACTTTCCATTTGTTCTTTCCACTCCTAAGTAGAAGGATATTTATTGCTGCAGTCATACAGATATTAATATACTTTTTTTCCATCTGACTTTCTTTTAGCACACTGATTTATGTCAGTACATGGACAAACACCCTGGAGGGCTTCATCCAGAAAATGTGAAGGTAAGAGTCAAAAGAGCACACATTCAAGGCAAATGCAAGAACAGTAACTTTGCGTAAAATGTCACGTCAGTTGTTTCATAGAAACTGATTATTAGCTAAAGGGGAAATAATTGACATATCAACTATATGTTAAAGTATTTTTTCCTTAAAAAGAATTAAAAATGTAAGTATTTCAACATTCCCACAAAAGAACTTGTGAAGGCTGTAAAATTGATTCAGAGCCAGAATATATGAGTTTAAAAAAAAAGTATATGTTTACAGTGTTGGTAACCCCTCCCCTCCATTCAAACATTTGCTCTTAAGACAATACTGCCCTAAAACCCCTGAGTAAACACGCTTTAGGCTGCCAGGGCTAGATCTTCAGTGAGGTAAGTTATTGTAGGTTCACCGAGTTTGAGGAAACTGTAATGAATTGTATTAGCTGAATGTACTGCTTTTTATATCAGCATATAAAGTCTTCCCTAATCTTTTTGCTCACTTATTTTGATGAAGCATTTTCATAACTGATCTCACTTCTTAAAAAATGTTTCCTTCTAAGGTAGATACTGAGAACCATCACACAGGAAGGAGGGAGTTTATTAGCAGGATTTAATGGAAAGATAGATTGGTAGAGACTTGATCCAGTTACTTTCTGGGAAGTCAGCCAAATGATTTTAGCATCAAATAGAAGCCAATCAGACATGCAGAATGTGTCATGTGTGTATAGATCACTCAGATGATATTTGTTACACTTGTCTTGCACTTTGACATCAATCCCATTGTTGTTCTACTTTGGAAGTATTTAGATCTTTACTTGTCAGCTCTATTCCAGTATTTAGTTTCTTGAAATTGAGAAGTTAATGGAAAAAAAAACCAAAAAACCAACCTCTTTCCTGGAAAACTAACAAGACCTGTTTGGTTTAAGAAAATAAAATATTTTAAAAAGAGGAAAGAATTATTTTTTTTTGCAATAACTGATTATTGTTGTATATCAACTAGTTTTGTAATGTAGATTGATTAATTTTTTGTGTTCTTTCACTGAAAAATAGCATCTACAACATATGAAGTTAGATGAGAAGGGCTACTATCAAAAAAAAACCCATAAAATTCTTCCTTACTGGATATATTTGGCCAAACTGGAAAAAAAATCTTTTTGAAAATAGGTTATGTGTGTGCTGCAAGATAGCATCCTTGTAATGTATAACTGTCATCCAGACATTTTGCTAGTGCGGACAGGGAAAGCCCTCATGTCTCCTCCCAGGGCCGACTTCACAGTGCCTCTTTGAGTGTGGCACTTTGAAATGGCTGAAGGTGAGTGAGGTGGGACCTGCTTTTCACCCACTAAAACTTTTGAGCTTTCTTCACTGCTCAGTTTCCTAAGCAGAGTTTCATGTGCTGAATGTGCTTGTTAAAACAATGGTTTTGTGTTTAATTTCCCTATGTGGATACCTTTACATTTGGCTCTCTGAGGTTTGGCATAAGCTAAGACTGGCTTTGAAAATCCTTCATGCTGCTTCAGATTTGTAAGACCTCCTCCAAGGCTGCAGTACTGTGTAGTTCAAGATCTAATACACAGTAGTCATTGTAGTTGTAATAGTTCCCTGCTGAGAAGTCATCATAATTCACGTAACTACTTTTTCTTGATCGTATCAGGGCCCAGGGAGCTTGTCTTTGAGGAAGATAGGCATACGCAGGTAATTGGGCTTGCTAATGCATCAGTCCTCTAAATCCTGAGATACCTGTCCTTTAAAACAGGAGCTGCGGAGGGAACTGCAGGAGCAGCATTTCCCTTTCAGATTTTGCTGCATGTGTTCCTGTGGCTATCTTTGCCATCTAACAACAGTGTGTTCAGCAACACTTCGGAAGCTTATGGACACATTAGAAATACTTCTTTGAGTAGCCATGTGTAGAGTCCTGATGTACTGCTAGTTCAAGCTTTTTAAAGTCCAGATGGATTATTAATAAAAAAGTAACTGGGAAAAAAGAGAAGTCTGAGCAGATGAAACTACCCTTCTACCATGAGCAATCCCATTGGACAATTAAAATTCTTTTTTTTTCTGTTAAATACTATTAATGAAAATTGATTATATGCATTTAGTAGACTCTCTTGCCGGGCCAGCAGGAAAGCCTAGCCTTAATTCATGCAGTAATTATTAAAACCTAGCATGATGATTTGCATTCCTTCCATTTTTAACATTATCAGCCTGCCTAGGGTTTTCAGTGAAATACCTGCTCTCAAAGCTACGAGTGAAAAATACCTGCTTAGCCCAAAAGAGTGATTTCTTCAGCTGAGAGGACAGGAATTGCAGAGAGAAGGGAACCCAGTCACATATGCTAACAAATCCCAAACCTTCACCAGCATGCAAACCTAAAAGCTTGCACTCCTCTCTTCTTACAAAGGAGATAAGATGGTTCCTACATAATATTTTAATGCTTTGTTGAGCTGTACTCAATTTTGTTGACTTACGTAATTGTGCTCCTGAGACTTTGCCACATATTTTGGTTTTAGCTTCTGGACAGAGTCATCTATCTGGAGCTACAGCTGATTTTTAAGGGTTCAGCTGAGCTGTATTAATTAGCCTTCTCTCCCTGCCAGCCTCTTCTTGCTAGAGGTCCTTCAGGAATTTCACTTTTAGTCAGACTTTTAGACAGTGTTTGTTCAGAATCACTGGTTATGTGATCCCTAAATCCATTTAAAAATACTTCCAGTTGAGCAATTATATTCCAGTAGCAATAAATTAGTCTCAGCTCTCTGGGGCTAACCTGTGGGACTGAGCCATTGATGCTCTCCCAGTATGACAAAAAGCCCCCTGCCTTTTAATTTTGTTCTTGAGGAAAGTATTGCCTACTGATGGATATTCCTTTCTGGCTTGTTGCCAGTTGTTATAAATACAAAACCACATAATCACACATCTTTCTTTTTCCAAAGAATATTATACAGTAGTTCCTGTAAAACTACTTTATAGGAATGTAGAATCAAAGCCATTATTTACTTATGTTTTGGTTTCTATAGGACATCTTCATCCTAATTATATTTCTGAATTTTCTCTGCATTTACAAGCTAAAGACAATGCTTGTTCCCTCAGGCTTACTTTTAGATGAAGAATCATAAATAGAGTAAAATTCAGATTACTTTGATGGACACACATATTGCTGTCCCCTTGGGTGTTTTGTTTGACATTGCCTTTCTTTCTGGTTTCAAATAGGCTATTTGCTGTCACTTAATTTTAAATAAAGAGTAAGCAAAATATTAAAATTATGTGGAATTATAAAGAAGTATGTCTGAATTGGCAGTTGTAGGAGTCTTGACACAGAATGTTTAAGCAAGCAAAAAATATTACTGCCTAAAGTATTAGGTTTAGCGTTTTTAGTGGTATGTATTCACGCGTAAAGATTTTGAATTTTGTAATTCACGCGCAGAGGCACAAGTCTTACAAACAACATCAGGTTTTAAACCCTTCAAAGAGCTTGTGTGTGAGGCTGAGATGTTTTTAAAATACCTATCCCTAAGAATGTTAAAACAAGTATCCTGGTGACATAAATGAGGTTAGGTACCTGCAACATCTTTATCAGCTAGAAGGGAAATTGACAGAAAGCAGTTGTTTCAGTCCATAGATTCTCCAGACTCTGTTAGCTCCAGATACACAATCATATACATCTTTGGTAACTAATAAGCCTGCATATCTACCATTTATTTATAACTGTATATTAATATACAGTGTGTGGTATTACAGTTAGAGCTGAGGAGAGAAAAGGTAATTGGTTAGTAAGTCCCTGTTCAGTAGGCACAGCCTCATCTTCTCTTCTCTGGTTTTGAAGACATCTTTCTCAGTTTTTCCAGAACTGAAGCAATAGATCTTAAATAATGGCCCCACATATAATTATGTTTCTATTGGAAGCTACTGTGGCAGCCTTTTACTTGGTTGGAACTAAGAGCTGATTTATAGGTGTATACCATGTGGCGCTTGCCAAGCTGCAAAATGTGCTGTGGCAAATTGAGTACAAGACTTGCTCCTGACTCTCCCTATGCTGTTCCTCCTGGCCCTGACTACTGAAATCTGTACTCCTGGCTTTCTTTCCTACAGCTGTTGCTGCCTTTAGAGTTGGACTCTCAGTTGAAACATCCGGATTGCTTCCTACAGCAGGAACTCTAATGGGTCATAGCAGCTAACTGACCCTGCCAGTGGTTTTTTTTTTTATGATGATGTTCATTTGGATTTATGTTCCCTTCTTTCTGGTACAAGGCCATCTCCACCAGCCTTTTGACTTATCTTCTGGGTTCTCCTGAGCCTGTGTTTGCAACTGTCCATAAATGGTTCTTGTTTTGTAAATTCATCATTTAATTTTTAAGTATCTGGTTTTGTGCATTTCAGCTTGTCCTGTGAAAATGTAACTGTTCTTAACTTCTTTTAATCATTGAAATATCATCTTTAGTTTAATTGCATCTTTTACTCCATATTATTACATGCCCAGTAATGCAAGTAAATTAATTTTTATATTTGATGCATTTATTTTATAGTTGAGTCTGTTTTTTTGTAATTCCTATTAGTGGTGGAACAAGTGGAGCAAGGCTTGCATCTGTCATGCCTGCACTGCTTGTTTTCATTCCTGCCTTAAAAATAAATCTATTAATGAAAGCTGATTTGCTTTTTAATTAGTGATGCTGCATTGAAATAGCTGTAATCTTTTGGGAAAAACACTCTCATTATTTTCTCTCTGCCTTTTTTCCTGTGCTTGCAGTTAGAGGTAATATCGATTTGTGTGAGCATTTGACTTCAAAAAAACATCTTTGAAAAAATAAAAAGACCCTTGCCTCTGACTTACTGTTCCTCAATCCGTGGAACACCAACCTGAATGAAAACAGGGTTGTCAATCAGATAAAAGCTGTCTCTGTCTATTAATCACTCTGTAAATCTTTTACTTCAGGCAACTTGGAAGGCTCGTATTGTCTACTGTGACCAGAGGGAGAAGGAACTTCCAGTTTGTTCTTAGAATCGTAGAATCATAGAATCATTTAGGTT